TTCCAGAAGACAGGAATGGCCCCATTCAGTGAAAATTAGTAAAGAGACAGGTGTACCTGTCCAAAATGACAAGCATGGGAGGGATACACTTATTTCCCAAAATGACTGTCCTCCTTCAGTATGTGCTTTTCAGCTTTTCACTCTCAGCTAAGAAGGCACCAATAGCCTCAGGTGGAGTTTTTCAACATTCTTTTGTCGAATCAAACCCTCTTTAGAACTCAAACTTGCTATGGGTCAAAGAGCCTGAACAAAAATGAAGTCAAACCATTCATTTCTTGCAATCAATAGTTAATTTAAAAAATTAAAAAAAAAAAAAAAAATCACAAGGAAGAAAAAAAAATGGCTGCACTGGCAAAGCTGCGAATACGTTCAGCACTCAGTTCCATGGACAACTCTATTTTCCAGCTCATCAGTGAAGGTGACACACTCACTAATTGCCCTGCGCCCCCAAACATCTAAGTGAGACATTACTGACTTGTGGAATATTCAGACCTTGTGCACAGTGATTTTCTTTCAGCATGCATGTGTATGTGAACAAGGTCACTGTGAGCTCGCAGTCAGCGAACCTTCATGCCCTTGTGAAGGTGGTGGAAGTTCAATAAGCACAGACCTCAGCCCCTTGAAGATGTGCTGCTATGTCACAACTACACTCTTTATCCACAATGAGAATTTGGGTCAGATATGAGTACAACACTGGTGTTCTAAAAATCACACCTGCATGCACTTCTCTTTCTTTCACACACATACACGACTTACAGGTCAAGTAAAACTCGCCTACCTGCCTTTTTTTTTTTTTTTTCAGATTACTAAAAGGAAAGGCTGATTCTCCCCTGCAGGTTTCCTTCCATAGTGCTCTCCCTGGAAGCACACGGAGTTTGCTGGGAAATGCATTGTTTTCATCTCACAAACTTTAGGGGAAAGAAATTTTCATTATTCTGCATGCTTGAATTCACACAAAAATTTGAAACGATGGTAAGCATAAAAAGAAACACATCTGAAATTAGAATTGTTGATTTTGATAACATAAAATCCTGCAACATTCGTCATATAAGTGGCTTTTAAAGGTTATTTCAAATTAAAATATTTCTATTCTGTAGCGATGAAATGTGCTCAGCCTGACTCCCTTTGGCAGTTCTAACATTGACTACTGGCATATTTCCGTGAGCCAGTAAGTTGGGGGGAAAGAAGAACACAGTCCATATCAGTGTCGTGGCAGCATTTTGAAAAAATTCCTAAAGGCACACTGACAGATTTCATCTCTTCAAGATTATTAGCCCAAATCTTAAAAGTAGAACTATGTAAATGAATGTAAATACCTATGATCAGTTTCTGTTATAAAAGTACAAGAATGATGTAGTGACATTACCACTTGGCTCGCATGACCTCCTGAGGTCAGCCAGCATCAGGTAGGAATTGATCATTGCCAGAGGATAAACAGTAGTGCTGTAGGGAAGCACTCACCAGGCTTTATGTTTCTTTCTTTCTTTTTCTTTTTTTTCTTCTTCTTTTTTTTTTTTTTTTTTTTTTTTTTACAAGTTATAATACTTGCACTCCAATCTGAGCTCTCCTTTATATGCTACAAAAGCCTGTATGTATCCATGCCATGGTAATCTGAATAGTGTGGGTGGGTTCCCAGCATTAGCATCATTCAAATATTTCAGTCTGTGACCAATCCAAATAAACACCTGAAATCACTGAAGACACGTTATATACTGATGGAATATGTATACACTATTCTGGCTGACGAGTGAGCATCTGAAGAATGATGTCAAAATTTACCGCTGGACCGAAAACACATGCAACCTTCCATCAACTCAAAGTAAATCAATGCTCAGTTAAACTCATCAGTAAAAAGAAAAGGGAAGGAAGGACGTCTTTCAGGAGCAACTCTTACTGAAAAACAAGTGCTGCCATTGCTGCACTTCTGCCAAGAGTCTGATGGCTGTTTCAGTGCCTCAATGCTTTGAAAAAACTGCCATTACACCTCTGTGTTACCAATTCTTTACATCTTTTTACCTACAGCTGCAAACTTGAGAATGAGCTGAAAATTGTTCCTGAAGTCATATGTACTGACCATATAATGGAAGAGGTAGCTTTGGAAGGTCACTGTGAAGGAGGAAAAAAATACATCTGCTATGGTCACATTGCACAGAGCTTTTGATAGTAAGAAAAGGACCTGAAGAGAAGGGTCTCCAAATTCCAGGATCTGTAAGGAATATCCTGTCTGCACCTTAGGATAGCTACAGATTGCCACCAGTGTCATCCATATTGGAGGGTACACACTCTCCTGTAGGATAAAGTTGGCAGCAACAACCTACAGACACAGAGGAAACACCCTGTGTGGCAGCCACCGCGCAGCGTGGCCAGGTCACATGAGGACCAAGACCAAAAGAGACTATTGCTTTGTGTTATCAATGGCTTTTTTTTCTGGTGTCCAATGTGGACAGCCCTAAGTCTCCTCCTGCAAACAGAGCTTCTTAAAGAGGAGATGAACTCATTTACTGCCAAAACCAAAGGCAGCCATTGTTATGGGCCCATTTCAGCAAGGCACTTCAACATGCGCTTGTGTTGAGCACTACTGAACACAAGACAGAAGCACGTGCTAGTTGTGAAACTTGATAGGCATCCCTATGGTAGCCACCAAACATTTGTGCAGCACTGCTGTTAGAAGAATTGGCTGCTGGGAACACAGCAGTATACATTCTGTGCTATAGGCTCATTCATTGCCCATCTGCAGAATATATTCTGTGCTTCCCAGGTTGCTGCCCAGCAGTCCTGAACCCAAACCAGACCAAATTATGCTATGGGACTCATTGTAAAACATGGGAGATCTGCAAGCACCTGTCCACTGTAAGTGGCTCTTCTGCTACCGCATCAGTCACATCTCCATAACATGGCTGGTGATGAACAGCATATTCCTCATGCTAACATTCTGCATCTGTTCAATTTTTGCCCTTTCTCTTACATGCAGCTCTGCCTCTTAGAGATTTCTTTGGGGTGAGGGGTCAAATAACACACTAGAATGGTGCAAACTAAGGAATGGGGAAAAGATACTGGGTTGTCTAAGTACTATTTATAGGTATGATGATTAAAATCTGGAGGTGAGACATTTCATTATTGCTAGGAAGTCACCGTGGTGTTATTGCCTTCACGCTTACAAAGCATTGCTGTTTGCTTTGATTACTTTTATGATCACTGGCACTGAAGTGAGCATCACATCACCGAACAACGACTTGATGCTTCATGGCTTAAGAAAGAATATTGCTAACTCTTTTAGCAGTGGTAAATTATTGCTTTCACAGTTACTGTTATGAGTTTTTAGAAAATCATAGACCTAATTGTATTTTCTTTTTTTCCCCAAAAAATCAACCAAAAACATCCCTGGAGGAAAAAAAAAACAAACCACATCATGTCCTACTACAGCACAGATCTGCTACCAGGTCTGAAATGACTTTATATGCATTTATATCTTCCTTCCTCAGCACCCTGGAGAGAAGATTCATTTCTTGTTTTTTTCCCTTTGAAGAAAATCTGACCTGCTACTCCAATTGTTTTCCGGTCCTACAGCAGAACAGCAGGTGTGTGAGCCACCCAACAGAGCAGCTATATTCCAGGAGAACGGAAGAGAATTTGGAATACTTTATAACTGGTAAATTTAAAGTATCCAGTAAAATATTCTAAACAGTTTTTCTTGTTGACTTTTGGAAAAACATTTCACTTCTGTGGACCCACTCTGTGTATCTTTTCCATGTAACACAGCTGGTAACACTTCCAAGGAGCTGGATGGTTTGTCACAAGCAAAGGAATGGCCAAAGATACCCAGGGAAGGGTGGTCTTTGCTCAGTGATGGAGATCCCTGCAAGGGAATGACATAAAGGAGAAACCATCTCTTGGCCACAAACATGCTGAGGAGGGCTGCAGATATCCCAATGCTGAACTCAGTAAAAACAAAAAAAAAAATACAAAAATAAACATTAAATGTCCTTTTGACTGTGGTCTGTCTGTTCCCCAAACTTATAATGTTCCCTAACACACAAATTTATCTGGAACTCACAGTAGTGAGTCCCTCTATAAATAAAGAGAATTCACTGAATATGGACAGAAGAAGTTTGCTTCATGATATAAACCTTTCTGGGCATACACATGCACAAAGAATCTCCATTCTTGCTCCCCATGCCTTGCAAAAACACATGATGTGCTTCCTTCAACCTGCTCTTAGCTGAGCGTATCTGCTCTAAAAATTGGGAACTCTTCCCAGTATTCATAGACACTGTGTGAAGCTCTGCAGCACCATCCTCCAGCACAAACTGACTTTAAGTATATATACAGCTATCAGCAAAAACACTGTGCTACATCTTCAAGGTTCTGAGGGAGCCACAGCTCAGTGTGGTTATTTTCACTTCCACAAATCATTGCACAAGCTGTGCAGCCTCATCCATGACCAAGGACACGACATATACATGGGTAACAGCACCCCTGTATGCATGCTGCTCACCTGAAATGGGCCATGTAGTTGCGTGGTGCACTGAGCATGAATGCAGATTGATGTGTGCCTATAGGCACACAGCTGTATACACAGCCAGAACTCTACTGGCATGTGTGTGTGATCTTCATGCGTGGGGAAATAATGTGTGTGTATCCCTATCTGCAAATCCCTAACCGTATATCCATACCTGCCCCAGGGAGCAGGAGACAACAGAGCAGAGTGAGGGCAGATCCGCACTGGTGTGTTGTGGAGTGGCACTGCGCACCTTGTCATGCCAGCGTTACAGGACAGCTGTGGGTTGCTGGTTTTGCAGCCATTAATTTTGCATCTTGTAAGGGTGGGAACAAAAAGGATCCGAAGAATCCTTTCCCTCCCCCACCCCAGAAAGCATCATCAGAAGACCAAAGCAGAGCAACTATGAGTTACATACACACTTGAGCTGAGCTGCATTACATAGCTCTGTAGGAGAAGCAGGCGGAAAAGATTTGTTTGTTTCGTTTCAATCTGTGCATTTTATTTCCCTCCGTCCCTTAGCTCTGTTGCTTTCCCTCTGGACGCCGTCACCCCCTGAAGAAGGCGGGGTTCCGCAGGCAGGCGGCTAGTCACCTGCAGCACCCCAGTGGCCCCGCCGACGCTTCCAGGCTGCTGTCCGTGTCGGACGCCAGTGTCTGATCCGTGGACATGGAGGAGATGTCGTTGGCTGATGAGGATGGGGGGAGGCTCTCGCTGCTGTTCACTGCTGCACCTGTGCTACGAAAATGAACACCACCGTGATTCAACCCGAAACCCCAGAACCTCTCACAGGTCAAAGAGCAGAGAATGCAACCCTGTGGTGATGTTCAGAGCGTTCTGAACAACACAAGCAGAAAATGGGCCCTACAGGCTTCAGATATTGGGTAATATCAGATATCTTACCGAGAAACTCTCTCTCTCTGCAGTCTCTTTGGAAGAGTTATAGTTCATGCCATGTCCTATTCCTCAGTTTCTTACCACGCCATCTTATTTTGCTTTACATACCATCCTTATCACTCCTTATCAGTCTCCTTAGCATTACCAACACCCAACAATCAGATGACAGCTGCAACCATGTGAGCACCACCATGAGGACTCAGTGAGCAAACAAACAACAAAACCCGACCAACCAAACACAACAGCTCTCCAATACATGGGCTGGTATGAGATCCTCTGGTGGCAGTGCAGACACGGATGTGGGGAGGCAAAGCCATTTTCTCTCTTAGTTAAGGACTTGGTGCCCAGGCCCAGGATTTTGGTTGTAACAGCATTTTTGTGCATCACAGTTCACTTGTCCTCTGTAAAATGACAGCATTAACCTTCACAATCATTTTGACTCTGCAAAATGAGGAACCTCTATGAAGTTATCAGTAACACAACTAAACATCAATCGCATCCATAAATATTATTTACCATTATTACCAGGGCAGCTCAGTCCCAAATTCCAAGCAGACCTCATTTTAGGCATTAATATGGCACTGCAGTTCCATTAATAAAGCTCAGCCCACTAAAACACCAAGTTGCCCTGAGACCTCTGAAATTAGTCTATATAACTTCTGGTGCACCCAAATGCCTCAGCTATTTCTGTTTTCTTTCTGTCAGCACAGAAAACACATCCGTGCTATTCACTGGGGCTGAGTACCTGAAGGAGACGGCTGTCCTTTTACTACGCCATTTTTCGTTTTTTCTTCAGAATTCATTACTTCTTTGTAGATGAGTTCTGGAACAGAGAATTGCAACAGTTACAGACAAGAACTGTGCCCGTGATCAGCAACAACAAAATCCTCTGATGAAACAGTGCCCCCCATAGGCCAACACTACGTTGTCCTCATAAGTCTTGACAGCTCTTCTCATGTAAAACCTCTCTCTCTCTTCCATCATCCCCTCCTCTACTGCAAGCTCTTCTTGGAGCTGAATTGAGACAAACAGGGCTACACTAGAACACATGCACTGTTTCACGCTGCTTTACCTAGAAAAGGAGCAGTACAACTTTGTCTGCTATAAGAAAAATGATGCCGAACCCTCCTGTTTTCTAGGAGGAAACTTAACATTTCAATGAAACAACGTAATCCGCCCTGATAATGACAGTACTTAGGGTATTTGTATCTGTGAGGGCTGCTCCAAGGGTAAGGTCATGCAGATTCACAAAAGCTGCATGCAGGCTGATCTCATCACTTGTGAAAATGCAGAAGTAATGGTAGTGATTATGCGGAAAAACAGCATTTTTTTTTGCTGAGAATTTGCTCTAGAAAATAGTGTTACTGTGCTCTTTGTATCTGCTGTCGTTTCCAAGGGAAAGGCAAGGAAGCATTACTTTCAGAGTGACCTATACAATATTTTCATTATCAAGCAGCAGTTCATAGGGCTGGGTTTGGTTCTTGCTGCCGGAGGAGTTACACTGATGCACGTGGGGTGGGACCTCTGACTTCTCCACCTAACTCTGAGCTGTGCGCACCTTTCCACTCCTCAATGGTGTGCTCCCGCTCGTCCAGCTGCTTGTCATAGATCTGGGGGGGTGGCTGCAGAAGAGAAAAAAAACTACTCAGTACATTTTTCACTATATCATAAATAATTAGCACTACTTAGGTAAAGATAAATTCTCCTCTCCCGCTTTGTTCATCATCCCATATGTGCAGAACACCCAGAAACATGAATATTAAAAGTGTCATCATCTCTGGAAATCAGCTCTTAAAGCAGACAGTGGTTCTCCCTCATCCTCTTTGGAACGTGAGGCACAGCTGAGCTGCAATGGAATTTGGTCAGTGCTACCATCATTCTGCTCGTGCTGAGCCTGGAAATCTCATACACAGAACTTTTGCACAGGCAAAGGACAATCAGAGCACCAAACAGACATCAGACCAAAATAATTTGCACTGACTGTGTATTAAATACCATAGCTGACAAGTAAGCAATCTTTTGGTTTGCCTGGGCTGCACTGAGTGAAGAGGAATTGTTTTGGGCCACATATAAAACACAGACTATGGTTAACGTATATAAGAAACAAAACATGAAACTAGGGGCATATCTGACCTTGCTTTTGTGAAACTAATACATCTGTATGGTTGTATGGAAGTGGCTGCAGTTCTTAGTTCGCATTACAGACTGATGAAACTTTATGTTTCTTAAAGAAAAATGAGTCACCATCACTGGATGTGTTTAAAAACCATTTGGATGTGATGCTCAGAGACATCACAGAATCACAGAATCACACAGAATCACAGAATTGTAGGGGTTGGAAGGGACCTCCAGAGATCATCGAGTCCAACCCCCCTGCCAAAGCAGGTTCCCTACAGCAGGTCGCACAGGTCGGCATCCAGGCAGGTCTTGAACATCTCCAGAGAAGGAGACTCCACCACCTCCCTGGGCAGCCTGTTCCAGTGCTCCGTCACCTCACTGTAAAGAAGTTCTTGCGCACATTTGTGCAGAACTTCCTATGCTGCAATTTCCAGCTGTTTCCCCTTGTCCTGTCTCCACTCACCACTGAAAACAGTCCGGCCTCGCCATTCTGCCCCCCACACCTTAGATATGTATAGACCTGGATCAGGTCCCCTCTCAGTCTCCTTTTCTCAAGGCTGAACAGACCCAGTTCACTCAGCCTTTCTTCATAGGGGAGATGCTCCAGGCCCTTCACCATCTTCGTGGCCCTCCGCTGGACTCTTTCCAAGAGATCCCTGTCTTTTTTGTACTGGGGAGCCCAGAACTGGACGCAGTATTCCAGATGAGGTCTTACCAGGGCAGAGTAGAGGGGGAGGATCACCTCCTTTGACCTGCTGGCCACGCTCTTTTTAATGATTTAATACACATGATTTAATACAGGGTTGTTAGGGTAGTATGATTAGGTTGTGGTTGGACTCGACGATCTTCAAGGTCTTTTCCAACCCAAGTGATTCTATGAAAAGAAGTGCTCTTTCCATAAACCGCTTTCAAACACCTCTGAGTTTATACCCATGTTATACTATGTCCCATAGCCCAGGAACACACGTTAGCCCATCCATCGTTGTAGGAACTTATGTTCCACTACAATTTGCCTAATTTTGGGCTTCAGCATTTTGCTGTAAAGCAGCAGGAACCCATGCACCATCCCCGCATTTGTCCAGCCTGCAGCACAGAGCTGCACCCCACTCACCGCCTCCACCTCGGCGGGGTCATACCAGACATTGATGTATGGGTGCTGCAGGGCCTCGTCCACCGATATGCGCTTGGCTGGATCGATGACCAGCATTTTGGACAGCAGGTCCCGAGCTTGGCTGGCTGCAGCATGGACAGCATGAAAACACTGTGATTGGCAACCACACTTATTGCCCTCACCTGGGTTATAGGAAAATCAGAGCCCTATATGCATGATGAGCTCTGTGATTTGCCACGATGGATTTTACCTGAAGATAACACAAAGCTCTGTGCCTATCAGAACAGGCTCAGCTTTCCATAATCTTTTCTTTACTTTTTTTTTCCTTCTTTTTTAAAATCATTATTGTTTTCTGGAGTTTTTAATAAAGAGTGCCTAAACTCATGTGAAAAACACCAGCAATTCTTACTCCTAGCAGCATGCTTCCAGGAATCCCACACTCAGAATTATTTACTCTGTAGCACACTACAGAAAACATGAAAGAATAAACAAACATAAATAAGAACATCGTATCAAGTGTAACTTATCAGTTCTCTCATCTGATAGTAAAAGCAGTATCAAAGGGAACTGCCAATATTATTCAGAGAATTACTGAAGCAAGACATGGGTTGATATAGTGATGCAGAAGCAGAATTTTTTAAGGCACTGTTTCTTGTTCTGACACTGCATCCTGAAAGTGGCACTAACTGGCTCAAATGAATGCACTTCCTGCATCCAAAATATCACAACATGGTTTGACAATCATTTCTTTCATTAGTTCCAAATCCAATTCATTATCCAAATTTGTTGGAGGAGGAGTACAGAATTCTGCATGTCCCAAGGTGTTTTCTCAGACCTTTTCCTTTGCCCTTACAGTAGCCATTCTATGAAGCAGCTGTTAACTGAAGAGTAATAATTCTGGGTACTGTGCTGACACGCGCCTTGCAAGCAGCTGAGAGCCATTAAGGGTCACCCCTGTAAGCACCCAGCAGAACTGAGGAGATGCAAGACAGATGCTCAGCACATATTTGTTTCAGATTTGCAATGAGAAGTTCTTTTGATACCAAACATACATTAATCACTCTTTCTAGTTGAAGATCTAAGTCCTGCTAAGGTAAACTGTGGCTTCAATACATGATTGAAGTCATTGCTAAACATGTCACTGTATGTATCATGGAGCATTATATCCAATAACATCATCATCAAGTCTTCTTGACTGAATGTATTAAATAGGCATGCAACAACAGAGAAGAAATAGTGGAAGAAACCTCCCTTGCATAGTGGCTGATGACAAGCAAATATGGTACATACCTTTGAGCTTGTTGTGTTCTGAGTCAGCTGGGAAGAGAGAATCAGGAAACAGTTTGGGGAAGGTGAGGCCAGCATACTTGGGCCGGTTCTCCACGTAGTTTCGTACAGTTGGCTGCAGCTTCTTCATGAACTCTGGGCAGGGCGTTCCCAACTGCTCTATGACTTTATTCCACTGGTCAATATCTGGACATTGGGAGTTAAGGAAAACCCAACACAAGCCCCAGACCCCAATCCTCCTGTATGACCATTACCTGGAAATCCCCAGAGGTTCCCACTCCCTCCATGCAGCCTCTGCAGATGCATTCTTTTCCATTATTATGCCCCTGGGTCCTCCTGCCCACCAAGGACGCTGATCTCTCACATGTCTATATTATCTATAAGCATTGCACACACCCAAACCCAACCACAGGTGTGGGAGTGACAGGTAGGAAACAGGTTTTTGTGCTTAAAAAGAAATCTTATTACAAGCAATTTGTATTGAACTCTTTGGTTTTCTCCTTCAGATTTTGTTTCCTTGAGCCAATCATTACACACGAGATAGATGACCTGTGGTTCCTGCAGCCATGCTCAGAACAGAATTTACTGTGCCTAAAAAAAGTTAAGTGTATGACCAGAAAAACAGCACCATTTCTACATCATGCTAATTCATAGTGCTAAGAATTTGATAACAAGATAAAAAAGAAAGTGTGGGGGGAGAAGCACACGCAGACGTGGGAACATTTACACTACAAAATGTGGTGATCGGTGCTTTGGAAACACCTACAGGGAATAAGCTTTTATGAGATAACATCCACAGCTTTTCAGCACAGGAATGGTGTTTGTATTGCTTGTGTATGTTACTGTTGTCATAACAGTGGAGGAGTCAGACAAATACAAAACACACTTCCTCATAATCCAGGAGAAAAATTGGGCCCACAGAATGAGAGTAACAGAAAACACATACCAGTGGGCAAAAAGTAGACTGCTGGTGCAGCAGCTGTTCAGATCTTCAGGGAAATGGAAATGGAAACCAGGGATTCTCACGTGATTTGAAAACTCAGCAGAGACTTAGTTGGCCTCTCCTGAAATGTCTTTTTTGAGCACTAAATAAATACATAGATAAATCAATAAAATAACACATTTAAAATTACAGCCCAATAAAAAGTATTTAAATGAATAAAACATATTTTAAACACCTTTTCCTAAACAAAAAACTGAAGAATTTGGGGCTGTAGCTGCTCAAGGAGTACCCTGAGCTTTTCATAAAGAATGTGAATAGAAGATCAAGGGTGACAGTGTGGTTTGTGGATGGAGGCCTTTCTGGGGAACACTCAGCTTTGGCAGACTGAAAAAAACAAGTTTTGGTCACAGGAACTGGTTCTGTGTAACCGAGTGATCTATGGGTACCACTGAGCCTTTTCACCATGGTCTATGTATCAGTCACCTCAGATGTCACCTACCCAAACACAGGACTGAGGAGAACACACCAGCTATGTGCACAGCAACTGTACTGAGGAGAGAGGGTGGTCCAGGCCCATTGGCTGATGGCAACACCAACCAACAAAGTTACTAATGGAAAAAAATAGTATTCTGAATGCACAGTGAAGAATTTGTATTAAAAGAACCCACAACACTCTGTTTTTACAGTGAAGCCAACTATTGAGATGTACAGACTAAAAGTTCATCACTTTTGCTCCTGTTCCCACTGATGCAATTGTAAATTGCAATTTACAAGAACCACATTTTGTTCCTTCAGCTGCACTGAAGCCTTGAGTTCCACTATATTCCTGCAATTATGCAAAAAATAAGGAAATAGAGCTTGGCTATGAGAGAAAATTTACAGTACTTCACCATAAAAATAATAATAATAATAAATTCTACTGAAAGAACTTCTGCAGTTGCACCAAAAAAAAAAAAAAAAAAGCTAGTGATTAAAGAAAGAAATGTAGAAATCATTGCCCTTGTGCTTAAGCTAGCTAGGATCAAAATACAAATATTTTTTTCTCTTTCAATATTTTGACTACATGAATGACAGTTTTTTAGTCAATAATTATATTTTCTTAAGTTCAACGAGACTGTGCAGGAGATACTTGCAATAGGATGATGATGCTCTACAATACACTAACATTTAGCCCCTCATTCTTCCCTGAGAGTGCTCAGCTGTTTAACCATCAGCAGTTTATTAGCATTTGTTTATTCTCCTGAAAAAGGTGAGAAGAGAAGAAGGAAGAATAAAAGTCTCCTGCTGCAAATCCAATGGCCAAGCCATGCCCAGAGACCAAGCACTGCTATTCCACATTACTTCAAAGTGTAACTCTGATAACAGTGTCTCTTTCCCAAATCCTCCTCAAACAGCAGCTGAAGACTGTATGTGTGAACCCTATTATTTGGTTATTTCACCAAAATGCCTGCATTTTTCAGGGCTTTGAAGCCATGCTGGATGGCAGAACATCATGTTTTCCTGACCAACAGACTGGAATCTTCACCTATTATGCACATACCCCACTGGTCTCACTGCATCAGAGCAGGATTTGCACCTTCTGTCTTAACACATATCTTCTGGAGTTGGGTAGAACAGGAGAATGTCAAATCTCACTTTTATATTTAAATGTAAGCACCACGAACATGACCTGGTCATGGCGTTCTTTCCTCATAACAGAAAGAGAGGGTGAATTTATCTTATCATCACCTCAGGACCTTAAAGGATGACCCTTCTGGGAGTTTTCTCCTTAAAAGTGTATTTTCCATCAATGAAAACTGACTGCATTTTTAAATCCCAATTTTTGATGTACCCAACTTGTTGAATTACTGTGAGCAGCTCTGCATTCCTCACCCCAACACCAAACTGTACAAACTGCTACATGGTTGGCTCAAACCAAGTCCAGTTTTGACATTAGATCTCTCTTTCTCTCTCCCCCCAACCAGAAAAACACCCAACCCACACTGCTGCAGGAGTCATCTGTGCAAGACAAGTTTATTTTTCCTCATGGTACCATAGTTTACATACTGATGTCAGCACAATTTACAATAAACACAGAAGAAATACAAAATGGTGGACTGATATATACATTTGACAAGACGAAAATGTGGGATATTTTCTGTGACAAGGGGATTGCTTTGAGAAGAAGGGGGCATTTGGAAAAACTAAACCACAAACATATTTTGCCACATAAGCAGTGACAATATATGTGGTATTGTAGAATGTGTGAATATAAAAACCACGCTTAGCACATACAGAAAACGATTTCAAAAAATGACCACTGATCATCTGTTAGAAGACAGTGGTGATGGCTGTGCAGCTGCCACTAACCCTTAAGATGGAGATGTACGACAATACCTTAATTAAAATTTTCTACTGTACTTTTATTTTTTAGCTAGCAACTTCATTCAGTTGCAGAGCATCTTTGCTTATGCAGCAGAAAGCTGCAATGCTGAGTGGACAGACCAGATGGTTACAGCATAGGACTGAATCTTTCTCTTGGATAAATCTTATCACTTCCCTCATGGACTTCTCATCACTGCAGCATCTACTTGTACTGATCCAGGCTGTGCCCAAGTTCCTATCATGGATGTGACACACTTCTGTTCTCGTGATGGATGCATGGTGATGGTGTCCCTCACTGAGAAGGAGCAGTACAAACACTGTGAAAATCAATATGATGTGCAACAAACAGACTGCAGTTGTAGCATGAGACTCTGTAAGTGACATCTTGTGTGGCCACCTCTGGCATTTGTTCATCACATCACATGAATTTTACATTTCTTTACTGAGTGGTTTGTATCTCCCTGTAAGCATTCCCAACTATTCAATTTAAAGCACATTCTTCCTTACGTGCCCCATATGCATTCAGCAGCTAAAAAAAAAACACACGCACCTCAATATGCCTCACCAGATACACAGCTCACCAGATACAAAGGACCCAAGACAACTCCTTAACTCCCTCTTCAGGTAATTCATGTAGTGCTGAGGGAAGAAAAACACACAGCTTTGAGCAAAACGTATGGAATAGGTGTCCACTTTCAGGCCCAGCTGAGTTCTGCTCTCAGCTCCACCATCCAAATTGAATTCAGGGAATTCAAAGACACTCCATGAGTGGAGCAGAGCCATACCTGAACCAAGCATTCCATTCTGCCTTAACACCATAACATTTTCTGCTTGTGAATCTTCCACAACCATCTGAGATCACTGCATGTCATTATGTGTTTTTATTCAGCTGCATGGACCATTTTGATCAGGAAACAGAAATGATGCAGAATGCTCTATAACACTTAACCGCTGGGAAAAGGCAAACAATTTTGCTGTCAGCATTTGTAACCACACTACTGCAGAGATGCCAGTGATGCTGCATGCAGTCATGATGCACCATGGCCCTGGCACCCTGCTGGCTGACTGGTGGTGGCAGCAGCCCTCTTCCTATGGTGCTGAACAGATGCTGGTGGAACACAGAGAAAAGCAGAGCAAAGCATAAAGCACAGTGCGAATTCAGCAGTGTGTTCTAAGTACAAATGAAGAACATCAGCCCATTTACAGAACAATCCCAAATGTATCAGCAGCTGCTTGTGCTGATTTCAGACGGGTTGCTTCAATAAGAAACACTCTGTAATGGTTTAATTATGGAGGCTTTTTGTGAGTTCTTTTGAATAATTCTGCAGCTGCATGAAAGCAAGCAATTTTAAAGCACTGTGTAGGACACAGTCCATTTGCCAACATTGTGAAGTTCATTGAGGCCACAGGTGCAAGGTCCTACACCTGGGTTGGGGCAATCCCAAGCACAGGTACAGGTCAGGTGGAGAATAGCTTGACACCAGTCTTCAAGAGAAGGATTTGGGAGTGTCAGTTGATGAAAGACTTAACGTGAGCCAGCAGTGTATGCTTGCAGCCCAGAATGCCAACCATATCCTCATTGATAGCAGTGACTCAAAACGTGTGACCAGCAGATCAAGGGAGGTGATTCTGCCCCACTACTCTGCTGTCATGAAAGACAGAGCACTGGAGTACACTGTTCCCAGTTCTGGGGTTCCCAATACAAGAAGGACATGGAGCTGTTCGAGCAGGTCCAGAGGAGGGCTACGAAGGTGATCAGAGGGCTGGAGAACCTCCCCTGTGAGGACAGGCTGAGAGAGCTGGGGCTCTTCAGCCTAGAGAACAGAAGGCTCTGGGGGGACCTTAAATCAGCCTTCTACTACCTGAAGGAGGCCTACAG